AGCCTCAGATTTGATTCTGTCCAGCTTTGTTTATTGCATGTACACGAGCATTCAGGTTTGTGTTGAATCAGTTGCATTTATTGAGATGTAAGTGACATTCTCTACCAGCAGAAAAGGGAAAACCATTGCCAAAGAGTGTCATTATCATCTCTTGCAACCTCTTTGTATATTGTCTTCATTTTCAGGTTGTTTTTCCACAATCAAAGATCATACACACACTAAAATGTTAAAATGCAATTGCACAAGGCTGCAGTTTTTATGTACAGCAAGCCTTTCTATTGTAAAGTATTTGAGCATTTTCTATTATTTGTATAAGTGCATGCACTAGAGTATTAAATAGTTTAAAGAGCTGGACAACTTAAACAAGATTATTCCAACAGTGTTAATTTGCATGTATGTAAATATGTATGAGCGTTTGTAAAAGTGTGTTTTAGAAGGAATGGGATTTAACTTTAGCAAAAAGTGTGACCTGCTGAGGCATCAGCCAATACAGATTTCCTTTTGTTTCTAACATAACTTATTAAATAAAATGAGGACTGATATAATATTAAATCTGCAAGTAGTTGGCTTTGGGCTAGTTGCTTTTGATTCTGCTAATGCATTTTTTTCTTTTGATTTTGCAAATGTTTTGTATATAGCACACCAACAGTTCAAATTAAATAAAAATGGTTGCTGGGAACTGATGTCCAACTGAATTAACAGCTTACACACCACAGATTTAAACCATTGATAGATTATAATAAACGCACTTCCCACAGTATAATCAAGTGTAAAAGATTTTCAGATTTACAGAAATGTGGTATTAGAATTTTTATTTTTATTTACTAATGGCAAGGTTATAATTGGTTAAGCAAAAACGTTTGTGTCAACATGTTTTAGGCCCGTTTTAAACTGAATAGTGCACGTACAAATTTAGTGGTCTATATTCTGACTGTTCTGCATCCAAACCAAGATTTTATACATCTTGTGCAACAATAAGAAATTTCAGAGTTATCTGTTAAGCGCTTTGATTACTCATCACATAATGTGTTTGTGCAAAAATTCTTTTTTTTTTAACAAATAAAAATACTATCAAGGTATATTAGGCAAATGCATGAGCCACAATTTATTTCAGTGTCTATTGTTAAATGAGTTTTTTTAATCAAAATTTTAAAGTGTTTTCATATATATATATATATATATATATATATATATATATATATATATATAATGCACTATATATGTACTTTATATAGTGCATTATAATATAGTATAATTTGCCCTCAAAGTGCAGAAATTCAAGGCTCTAATGAAGGATTAATGCAAAGTGAAAAGGGTTTAAATTACTATTTTGGCTGCATGTTCATACAAACAAATGTATACATCATAATTTTTAAGTAGTTTAAATAATTTTAACGTTCTGGACGCTTGTTCCTCTTATCTTAATCTACTGTAAGTTATAGTGCAATATAAAGAGACACGGGTAATTTAAAAGTTTTTCTGACATAGCACCCCTAAAGGCATACATACGTTGAAATGACGCACGGTGGGACACAGGTCTACGTCAGGGCGTCGAAGCGCGACAACCCCCCCCCCCCCCCCCCCCTCCTCTTAGCTTGGAAGAAAAAAAAAAACGTTTTTTTTTTTTTTTTTTTTTTTTTGTATCGGAGGAATCAACAGCCGCCATCTTGACGCGGCTCAGAATCGGGATTTCGGTGGGAGCACTAATTTTCAAACCGCTCGGAGCCACCCAGACCCGGCTCAAACGGCATTTTTCCTCCAGAAAATCCAAGACTTGGTTCTTCCGCTGACAATGAATCCAAACATGTGAGGCTTCCGTGTGTTTTTATCGTCTCGAAAGACCACTGTATATTTGATTTCCCTTTAGAGAGCGCCGCTGTTCGCCGTATCTCCGTCCACAGACGCCGTAATTCACGGGAGACAGCGACGAGAAAAATAATCCGCCTCATAGAAAATATTTTTTAAATTTTCTTCTGTTTATTTAGGTCAAAAACGAATTTTATGGTTGCTTGTTTCGACTGCGAAAAAAATGATTTTGTTTATACGTAAAATCGCCGAACTGTGGGGAAAGGGGCTCTCTTACGCTTTGTGTAATATTTTATGAAGGCCTTTTACTTTATTTTTCTCGGGGAAATTTTTTAGACGTAATTATTGAGGATAATTATGTGGGTGTTGGGTGTTGGATTATCATGGGGTGATCTTCGGTGGCGAAGCGTGGCGCTGTTGCCTTTCTTTTGAAATAATTTTCTTCAGGCAGAATTTCGCCCGTCTGCCAGTCAAGAAAAACTCTTAGCATTGCCTTTTCGGACGCCACATTGGGAAAAGTTCCCCCAATACCAACACTAGAGACACGCGTCTTGGAGTCATCCTGCTGCTTTTCTCCTGCAACATCATCCTTCCATAACACCGAGCAGGATGGCTGACAATCTGCTGGATGCGGGACCCCCTACTGCAAAGCGACCCAAGCTCAATTCACCCCTCTCAGGCTCGGATGGTCCAGGTAAGCATAGTAAGACATTTCATCATTAAAGACAATCAGATTGTAAGGATTTAAACTACAGGGCATTCTTCCGGTTCGAAGATAAAGCATGCACCAGCTACTTCAGCGGGATGCACGGAGGTTACTGGAAAACTGTACATCAAGTCCTTGTAGTAATTTTAAAATACGGTAAACCATTAATTGATTGAACAATGCTCTAAAGGTTTAGTTTGAAGAGCTCAATGTCCGTTATATATATATTTAAACTATGATTTTTTTCATCTCGGTTTTAAGTGTTTTAAAAAGTAAGTTACATTTAAAAATGACAAGACTTTGCATTTGCATCACTTAATTACAAGTTTGTAAAATGTAGGATCTTAAGTTGGTTTTCATTTTGATCCTTAGACCGTGGTCATGCATGCACGCCTTTAACATAATAGTTTTAGCTTAAGAAAAACATTTGATTCAGTCATTAAACACATAGAAAATCTATTCTATTTTTTGTTATTTGTTTTTTCTAGTCATTGCCATCTGTGCAAATTCGTTATCTCACATTTGAACTTGCCTATTTATTATCCTGTTATTACCAGCTCTATTTTAAAAAGCGCTCGAATAAATAAAAAAAGGGGGGGGGGATCACGTGACCAGTGGACTTGAAACATTTTTGTTTGTGAGTATGTGGGTGTCAGACGTGCACGACATGACTTGGTAACTACCTGCCATAATAGGCAGGGTATTACAAATTACCTCTAGGGCAGGGGTGTCAAACTCTGTTTTGCTCAGGGGCCACATTGAGGAAAATCTTAGTCCCAAGTGGGCCAGGCCAGTAAAATTAAAGTATGCTTAAATTAAAAACTGCTTCAGATTGTTTTCTTTGTTTTAATACGATCAACATAAAACAAAGCTGGAGCCTGAGGACAGTGTATCCAAAATAGTTTAAGCACAACATCACTATTAATAATAAAACACTTGAAGTGTATTTGAAAATGTGAAATACAAAACAAAAAACACAGACTATTCCTCAGTAAGTCAAATAACTGATTCACAGATCACATGGCTATATCAGTTTCATGCATGTCTTTGACTCCTGATACCTGACATCTTTTAGCTTTCACCAGCAGTTTAATTGAAAAATGAAAGCTTATTAAATAAGGTTTACACAATCATCTCGCGGGCCGGATTTAAACTGTGTGCGGGACTGATCCGGCGTGGGCCGCATGTTTGACACCCCTGTTCTAGGGTCTGTGTCTTCACTTGTCCAACCTGCAGAGCAGCTCTGGGTGTTTTATTTATTTACCTGGACTGTGAAAGAGATGATTTAATCATCTGAAAAGTGTGTATTTCACAGAAGATGTGGTTTAATTAATCTCATGGCATACATCTGCTTAAACAGATTTGACAATGAAATAGTTTTTAAATTTCTTTGCCATTGTAACTTTTGCTACTGCATGATAGTTGACACATTTTTTCTTTAAGTATTTGACTAGTATTTATAACTGAACATGAACTTATCATACTCGAAAAGAAAACTGTCTGCCGCAGGTTTTAGCCAAGTCCAACAAGCAAGGAATTAGACTTCTTAACAAGCAACAAAAATTGTTTATCATTAAAAAATAAGATTATGAATACATTTGAGCAGTGGTTAAGTCAACAATCACAACTGTTGCATCCAGTTTTTTCCTGCACATTATTTGTCAAATTTAGGTTTGGATGTATGCAAAAAGATAACACAAAGTTAGGGCTGCAGCTACAACTTTTGATAGCTGACCGATCTGTCATTTTGCTTTCCTTCGATTAGTCAATGGCCATTTAAATTGGTGGCTACTTCCTGTGATGCATGTCCTGTTGTGGGCTCCAATTTGTTATTCTTAACTCAGCTGCTAAAGCTCGTGTCTCCTTCTTCTCGAAAGTTTTTCTTCACTGTTAGGGTTGTGTGAAGTTTTAGCAACCTATCGACCGATTTGGTGAATAACTGAAGGTTGAGACAGCACCATACCATACCATACCATACCATGTTTATTTATATAGCACTTTTAAAAACAGCATGACAGCTGACCAAAGTGCTGTACAGTAAAAAGGACAAACCCCAAGATAAAAACGGATAAGTCATATAGGAGGTAAGTGGTATAATCTAAAAAAATGTAAAAGAAACATACAACAATAAAATAGAGTCACAATAAAATGTAAAAATACTAAAAGCTAGATCATTGAATAAAAGCTAAATGATAGAAGAAGGTAGGGCTGCTCAATTAATCGAATTTTAATCACGATTACGATCTGAGTTTTGAATGATTATAAAAAAACAAAACAAGCCGATTATTTGCTCCTCCCGCTTGCGCTGCCCTGAGTTGCGCTCATCCCTAAGCGCTCCTCCCACAGTGTTGCCAACTTAGTGACTTTGACGCTATTTCTAACAGCTTTTCAGGCCCCTTCTTGACTTTTTAAATCTTAAAAGTATCTAGCGAACACCTCAGAAACATCTCTGGTAACCCTTATCTACTTTCTGGATAACTGTCGTCGACATTTCCTGCAGGTTAGCTAAACACTCCGCCTGCGTTCCGGACCGTTCTTCAGGACATTAGGAAAGGGAATGATGTGGTGATGTGTCGGTCGCTAAAGACAGCTCTCGGAGCCGGCTCCTTGTTGGACTAACCAGCGTGACAGACACACACCGCACCTGCGGAACCCTGAGCCGCTAAAAACGGCTAAATGTGCGCGTGCGGCGTGCTAAACACACGTGCAGCTTGCCCCGATTGCTGTGAGACCGGGTTGGGGGGTGGGGGGTGCAGCTGTGGTTGGGACAATTATTACATTAACTGATGGACTTGTAAATAAATGGTTTATGAATAAGGTAGAAATAAGTTCCTCACGCTGATAAATAATAGCTAACCTCTCTGAGGACACGGTGCTAGTGCACTCTCCTACAGCACCTTGACACGACTCAATAAATGTTATGCAACATTTTGTGAACATCAATTTATTTGCATTAATTTGTTATGAATGCCACTGTATAATTCTTGCTGTCAGTATTTGCAAGATATTGGTATTTGGGTCTGTACTGGTTAGACTTAAATGATTTAAGCCAAGGTCTATAGCCCTTGGGTCATAAACTATGAGCTATAAGTATATTGGTCTTTTTATACTGGGAATCAGGAGTTATTTTAGTGATCATCTTGTTTCTTATTTTTGTCCTGATTGTGCCCTGAGCAATTTTATGACTGAATAAAAACAAATAAAATCAACATAAATTGAAAAATCGTCCTAAATATTCATGATCTCAATTTCAGTCACCATAATCGTGATTATTATTTTTGCCATAATCGAGCAGCCCTAGAAGAAGGCCTTCAGTACCGACTTAAATCGACCCAGTTCTGGGGCCTGTCGAACACTAAGGGGGAGAGCATTCCAGAGTTTAGGAGCAGCGAACGTAAAGGCCCGCTCTCCACGAGATTTATACCTCATTTTCGGGACGCACAAAAGCAAATGATCTGCAGATCTCAGGTTTCTGGTTAGAGCATAAGGCTTTATCAGTTCTGAAAGATAAGCCGGGGCTTGACCATTCAGAATGTTGTAGACAAAGGTCAAAACCTTAAATTGGATGTGATATTTAACAGGCAGCCAGTGCAAGCGTGCAAGGACGGGTGAAATGTGACAGCATCTCGAGGTGTTTGTCAGGAACCTAGCCGCCGCATTTTGCACTCCCAGTAGATGCTCGATTGCTGAGACGCTGACACCAACAAGTAGTGAGTTGGCATAGTCTAAACGTGTGGTTACAAAGGCGTGAACAACCGACTCCAGCTGAGGTCGTTTGACTATTGACTTTAAGCGCGAGATGCGACGTAGTTGAAAAAAGCAGGACCGGACTGTAGAGTTAATTTATGAACTCATTAATAGATCAGAGTCAAGTTTCACTCCCAGACTGGATACACAGGTTTTAAGATTTAAAAACGGTAGAGGGTAGTCACTAGGGCTGCAACAAACGATTATTTGGATAATCGATGAATCGGATGGGGTCTCGACACGATTAATCGATTAATCGGATTACATGGGGAAATTTTTAAAAACTGCTAGGGAAACGTTATTTCTCTCCTTCCTTCACTTTATTTAACACAACATTATTAGAAAACAGTTCAATAGCAGAAAAACAACATGCCATCACCTAAATTGTCTTATAAGGTGTATAGACAGAGACCCTAAGCTACATCTATCTGTGACCTAAAATGCTTGGTCCAATTAAACAGCTTAAGGGCAATTCTCATCTGTTTTGTTTGATCTCATCTGTAGACATTTATTATAACTGGGGATGTCAAACAACTAATTTTTAAATGTAATTAAACATTGGCTGTGAATTAATCTAGATTGATCACTATTTCCAAAAATGACTGAAAAAATAAGTTTTCACACACTCCATGGAAACTTTCAGAGAATCCACAAATAGTGGCTTTCAAATGGTTTTGTTACTTTTTGCAAGTTTAGAAAAGCAGCAGATGAGACATCATGTCTGATAATTTAGTTTTTCATCTGATAATATTAGAACATGTCAGTAATGTCTGAGGGGCTTTTATAAACACTGTAAAACTAACACTACTGGAGAGGGTATGAATTACACAGAGGCTTCTGGGGAGCCCAGTTATGGGGGGCATTTTGCCTTGGCCCCCAAAATGTCTTGAAACGGCCCTGGGTGTGTGACTGAGTGTTGAAGGTGACCTGAATAGTATCAAATTTATAAATACTACATGTGTATAACTTATTGTTTTATACAGGTAAAAACGTGTAGTGGAGGTAAATCTATCTACATTTTAGTTTTCAACACTTTGTTTTGTTGTTTTTATTGAACTATTTTCCTGTCCTGTCTGTCTCTCATCTTCCTGCATCTCCTCTTAATTCTCCAGAAAAACTGCTGCCTGGATTCTTACTTTTTCACCTCATCAGTTACTTTTGAGCAGATCAAAGAGATCTCCTGACCGCAAAGCGCAGAGCGCGTTTCGATGCTGCGTCAGTGAGGTGAAATCACCTGCAGC